GGGGGGGGGGGGGACCTTTGTTTGAATTTTATTACCAAGTCATCAGTCACCAAGATAATTACTTTTCCCGAGGACACAGAGGCGCATATCTCCGGACCCCTGTAACAAAATGCTTTGTTGGTGAGGCAGGTGTTTCTGCCTGCTGAGGGGTGAGCTATTTGGGATTATGCCTTGGGGTCCTTTCCTCCTCAACTGTCCTCACAGATAGCGACACCCCTCCTGCTGGGGAAGGTTCCCCAAGACTGAGCACCAGGTGGCCCCTGAGCTGCTCTCTGATCTCTGCTTCTCTCCCCTGCTATCCTGCTCAGCCAAGACATTCGCCACTGCAGAGTGCCGCCTGGCGACCCCCGCGGGCATGAGCCGCTACAGCTTGGACCCCGCCACCTCGGCCTTTAGCCACAGGGGCTCCTTGCCCGCCTCCTCCTCGCTGTACTGCAAGAGGCAGAACTCTGGAGACGGCCACCTTGGGGGAGGCCCAGCCGGCACCTCTGGAGGCCCATCGGCACCTGGGCTGAGGCCCCCAGGCTCCAGCCCCAAGAGGAATGGGACCTCTCTCGAAGGAAACAGATGTGGTAACGTAGCGCACGCATTGTCTCCCTGGGTCCTGGGACCGCCGTGAGAAGGGAGGGAGGGGACTGTGGCAGCTTGAACACGGGAACACTGGGAAACTAGAAGTTTCCACAAGCCCCTTAGTGAATTTTTGTTGTTCTTGAACACAGCGGACGTCAACCTTTGGTAATAAGCAAAGGAAATGGTGTATCAGAGTAGGCTGGGCTGCAGGAATTAGCAGTACCTACAGTGGCTCAAGTACAATAGAAGTTTATTTTTTGTTCAAGAGACCAAGGTGGGTGTTCCTCATTGGTGAGTGCATCCCGGTTCAGGGGCCTAGGCGCTTTTCCATTTGTGTCTCTGCTGTCCCCCAGGCCTCCAGGCCCCAGCACCTAGCGGGTAGAAAGGGAAGGAGCAAGTGGGGGAGGCACACGCTCTCCTGGAGCCTGGAAGTTGTCACATCACTTCCACTCACAGGTCTTTGGCAAGAGCTGGCCATTTTGCCACACTTCACTCTAAGGGGGCCTGAGAGGTGTGGACTAGCTCTGTGCCAGGAACAAAACCAGATGTTAGTAAGGAGTTTTCTTTTGTGTAGGGGGTGACACTCACAGGCTACAAATACATGAGCAGAACCAGAATTCAGCAAAATTCCCACAGCACTGGTTGTAGCATCACTTCTGTCTCACCCATTACAGGTCGCTTGTTGGGATGCAAACTACGAAAGCTGTCATTCTAGGGATAGCTTGGCATCTGTTCTGATTTTTGTTTTTTGACTCATTTTCAAACTTCAGTATTTCATTAATGAACAGAGGCTATACAGCACAGTGGATAATTGCATAAACTGTGAGCCCAATGACCTGGGCTGCAATCCTAGATCTGCTACTTTCTGTTTGACCTTTTGCAAGTCTGAGCTTCTCTGTGCCTCAGTTTCCTCACTTGTAAAATTGGAGTAATAATAATAGCACCTACCTCATAGGTTTGTTGGGAGAGTTAAATAAGTTCATATGTGTATTTACTACAAAGCCTAGGACAAATAAGAGCTCAATAAATGTTAGTAGTTGTAGACCATGTGAACACACCCCTCAACGAGCACAGCTCATCAACTCAGCAGCTGAGAACTACTGAAAAAGGGAGGCCCAGGCCAAGGAGGCAGAGTCTTCATCCTGCTCCTCAGGAGCCTCCCAAGGGACTGGCTGTCTTCTTTGGCAAGCCATGTTTCCGCCCTGAGCCTTGGATCTCTCCACCAGTAGCCCTGAGAAGCTACAGCAGTTAGCTACTGTGTATGATCCAAGGTCTTCCACATACTCCCCTCAAAAAGGATCACCCATCCCACACAAGCCTCTGCTGGCCGAGGGTGGGGAGGGAAGCAACCGTGGTTCCATCTGGACTTCAGGGCTTCTATTACGAAGGAAGAAAGGAAAGGAGCTACTGGTTAAGCAACGGCCACACCTCCCGTGTTCCTTCTCTCCTGCTTCCTCCCCTGGCACTTTGATTCCTCTTCTCTAGTACTTCCTCTCTCCAGTCCCATAGTAGGAACCACTCTCAGCCTCTTGCTCATATTTGTATCCTCTGCAGCCCCGGAAGAGGGGCCTGCTTCTTTGAGGCATATACTAAATAGCTACTTATTGAGCACCCAACCCTCAAAAGTTTTAGGGAATAGGGAGGAGGGGATGGGAGCAGACAGGACTCTTACACCCTGCCCTCTTTAACCGGGGCCTCTGCATTTGCAGAATGGGGTTCTATGCTTGCTTTGCTTGAACAACATTTGTACAGCTAAACACATTTGGAAACTGTGGAAGTAAACCATGCTGGATTGAGTGGCAGTATATTAAAGCAGGAGAGAAAACCATTGACCTCCTTACCCATTTGTCACCTAGCTGCCTGCTGGGGGCCCTCTGGAGGGCTATTGACTTTTCCCTCTGCCCAAAGAACTGCTCAGTATTGCTGCGAAATTGCATCCCAAGTGAAAGCAGCTGGTATGAAGGACCATACCTCCTTAAGAGGGTTTGACTCAAGTCATAAACCCTGGAAGGAACCTAGGAATGGATTTTCCCCCATGGTGCTGATCAAAATGGTTTAAGACCACAGAGGCCAGAAAACTGCAGGAGGCTGCAGGCAGGGGAGTGGATGTTGATGACGTGGCAAACTTGCCAGCCTTCTCTCTCATGTGCACACTTACCCTGGCCACCTGCTGTCTTGATATATCACACCTGTCATGTCTGCCAGTGGACTTGGAAGGAATGTAGTTGCAGGACACATTTCTGTGTTGTTTTTTTGCTCATACTCAGGTGAAAATTTGAGAGCTCTCTCCTATCTTTCATCCAAGACATAATCACTAAGACCTATAAAGAGGTTTCAGATAACAAAAACATCCTGACTCTTGCATTTAACATGCCATGCCATAGAATTCCCAAACACACTTGGGTCCAAGCTTCAGAATCAAGAAACAAAGTAAATCTGACATTATTATTACCACCCAAGTGCTTCCCGGGGGTTGGCGTTTGCTTCCATACGGTATGGTATTGGGTGACAGATAGAGATGACTCATCCAGAAAAAGGATGGGACAGTGCTCTATGTGATGTGGGTGGAAAGGTTGAAGGTATGGCAAGGGTCTGTTCATTCTGGGGAAAAAGGAGAGCTGTGGCAACTAAGACTTGGAGAGATACCAGCAGATTCTTATGGAGCACAAGCCAGGGGATCTTCTCAGGCCTGAGGATGGAGCTGACAGTGCAGCTCCAGAGAGACAAACAGAACAATGGCATCAACTTAACCACAGCTGTGACTATTGCTCCACAGGTCAAGTACGGCTGCTATGAAAGAGCCAGATAGGGAGGGGTCGCTGGGCCAACTCTGGGAGTCAGGAAAGGCCTCCCAGAGAGGTGACCGTGGAGCCAGCTGGAAGGAGAAGCAGGAGCTGGCCCGGGAGGGGCAGTGGGGAGAAGGGGTGGCTGGAGGCTTCCCAGCAGAGATCACATTGCTTTCCCAGAGGTCATGGTGTCTGGTGGCAGAGAAGGAATCAGTCCAGCTCAGCCCCACGTCAAGCCTGTGGTCTCTCTTTGTCTCTAGAGGCATCCTGTTGTCTCCTACAGGCATGTCAGCTGGTCTTGATGGAATAAAAGAAAAACCTGATTAAAATACAAGATTGGGCAGGCCCTCTTCTGTCTCCTATCTCTCTCACCTCATAGTGAAAATTATTGTAATAGAAATAATGAAAGATATTATTAAGTTGGCTGATGTCGCCCAGATTGTGGGCTAACCTAGTACCTCATTTACTGCATGGTCTTGTTTCTAGGAAGGGTGCAGTCCATGGGACCAGGTGACTAGGGGGAGCTGAGGGCAGATCTGCCCTCCCCATTGCCTTCACCCTGTCTCCTCCCAACCCAGCTCTAGCCAACCAGGGAGTCTGGGAGGGCTGAGGGGACCTACAAGCAGCCCGAGGAAGGACACCAAGGGGTCCCTTTTGGACACCGATTGGCTTTTCTTCAGATGTTTCTTGTCAGACTGCAGCCCAAAGCTACACATTCACTTGATTCTTACAATATTCTTGAGAAACAAATTGAAGAAACTGAGGCCCCTAGAGAACGACCATGGCCAGGAAAGGGACCAGAAGCCTGACTGTTGATGCTTCATCGTGTGGGCTTTGCACGTGGACACAGTTGAAGCTCAGATGTGTGAGAAGCTAACCCCGTGAGTGTTGCACGGGACAGCCTGTGTGTGAAGGGACCGCACAGTGTCTCAGGTGGAAGGGACCTTAGAGGTCCTTCCCAACTCCCTTATTTCACACCCAAGAAGCACAAAGGTGCTCCCATAGCTGATGGGTGGTAGGGATTTCTGACTCCCAGCTCATTGCTCATTCCATTCTTTTCGTGACTCTGTTGTTTGCTAAGCAGTTTCCTCTGAACTATGAATGCAAGAAAGGAAATTATGCATGTGCTTGTGGGCATGTGTGAGACAGAGAGAGACTCAGAGACAGCAGTCTAAGTACCTGGAAATGCCAGGGATGACTTTACACCCTGACTCAGTCATTCTGTTCCTAGGGATGGTGAGTTCAGCTTTAGAAATGACAACACCCATCTTTAATTGCACATGCACTCACAACCGGGTGTTGCTTTTCCAGTCTCGGGCAGCCCCAGTGAATGGACAGGACCATATACAACAGTCTCTGCACTGGAGAATGCTGCCTTCCCAAAGGCACTGGGTGAGCACTTTGCGTGCTCTTTTCTTATAGGAGCAAGATTTTTTTCCAAATCCATCGCATCTTACCAATGTCCAATCACAGCTGCTTGGCCGCACCCACTCTGTCTTCCTAACACCTGCACAGCAGCTGGAGGGGCCTGGTGTATTTATTATCTTTGCGAGCAGAGACCACCGAAAAGGCTTTGCAACCTGCCACCAGCAGGTTCCATTTCTCTTCCTTCTAGAGCAAGTTTACGTGCTTTGGAACTTGAGCAAGTCCCCAGGTGTGGCAGGCTTCCTGCTGCTCTCTGTCTGGTCTGACTAAAGGCTCCCGACTGCTGCTCTTCCAGCCGGGGAACGTGAAAATGCCCACAGCAAGTACCAGGCACCCGGAGGGGAGCCACTTTCCCTCCAGGGCCATCACCTGGGCACCTCCTCGCCTCCTCGCAGGGACAGAACACCTCCTGTGCTCAGCCCTGTCACCTGACTTTGCTGAAAGGAACTGAGTCTCCTATGGACGAGGCTGTGAGTCAGCCTGGTATTTTTTCTTTCTATCAAATACAGGAAATTAGATCTGACCTCTGCTCTGATCACTCTGAAATCATTTTTGGCACCGTAGACTCCCAACCTTTGTAATCAGAGCATCTATTGTTACCCTGATTAATACCGAAGCCCTGATGGGGCAGGATTCAGAGGTGAACTCGGTTCCGTGATGCCTGGTCCCCATGTTGAATGCAGATGACTTTAAAGGCAGTGGAATCGTCTCTAATAAGTAGTCATCCCGGTTCAGATGGCTCCAGGGGGCAGCAACAGGCTCCCAGCAAAATGCCCGGGGCCAGATCACCTTAAGGGGCTCTTCTAGTCCAACAAGGAAAAGGCAGGGGGACTCTCAAAGGAAACCCAATTCTCAACCAAACCACTACGCGTTCAGGAAAGACTCGGAAGTGTGATACTGTGATTCTCGGTGCTAACGGTGAACCATGCACTTGTGCAAAGAGGAGGAAAGAAGAGACAGCAGAGAACTACTGCACCTGAGCCTGAAGGAGGGAAACAAGCGAAGGCTTCTCCACTTCTGATTTAGGATTATTCTGTGGGAAAGCGGCTTCATTGTTCAGAGCCTAGACTTTTTTCTGGCCTGAAAATAGGATTAAGGATTACCCACACAAGGCTTTCGTATAAGTTATTTATACTGTTTCTGCAAAGGCTATTGAATCATTTTACATTGATTGACCCAATTTTTACAAATATATTACTTAGAGCCATGGAGGAGCCACTGATTACAGACCCTGTAGTGAGAGGGTGCCGTTTTCCACCCAGGACTGGAACAGAGAGAAGCTCAGTAGACGTTCGTGGACTGAATGGGGGGGAGATGAAAAAGATCCTCCTCAAGAAGTTAAAATCTAACTGGAGGTTGCAGACAAGTACGTGCGTAATTGTAATGCCAGGCAGACTGGACAGCATCTTAAGAGAGGAACAAATGAAGATTTTGGGGTTAAAGGCGGAGGAAGGTGACGTTCAGATGGCAGGACACAGAAGTGCTGCCCTGGACGGGGTCTCCCTGGGCTCTGACCGCTGGTGGAACCTCAGTGGGAAGGAGGGAGGATAAATGTCTCCTAGACCAAAGCAAAAGCACCATCTAAAGGTGGGCAAAGGAAGCTAGAGGAGTGATGGGTCCCAACCAGTGCACAGCCACTCAGCTTTTCTCTGTCACAGGAGGTCCCTCAGGCCACCTCCTAGGACTCCAGGGCCAGGCGGGAGCAGGCAGCACAGGGAGGGGCCGAGGCCTCGTCCTGGTGTCTAATGGTCTCCCTCTCCATGCTCTCCCATCCAGCCTCAAGCCCTTCTCCAGATGCACAGGACAGCAGGCGGCCAAGGAGCCGGAACCCGTCCACCTGGACCGTAGAGGACGTGGTCCGGTTTGTGAAAGACGCTGACCCGCAGGCTCTGGGCCCTCACGTGGAGCTCTTCAGAAAGCACGTATGTGTGTGGTGGGCCT